TGTGCACCCGCAAACACGGAGGCGCCGACAATCAACGGAGGAAGAAAATCACCGTTCCATACCTCGCAACACAGGAGGTATCATTGAATACAACGACATCGAGACTCGCTCAAGCTGGACCTTCATTCACTCGGGGCCGCTCAAGTTTACGGAACTACGTGTTAAGCACTACGAGTCGTCCTCCTTCTTAATCCTACGGCTAGGACCCCCAGACCCAGGCCCAGCTGAGTCTCTCATCCTTTTGGCCCTGCGGCTCTTGTCCATCCGCCCTTGCGGGTTACCGACCGGCTTAGCAGAGCCGGTCTGCCCTGGCGGCGCACCATTGCCATCATCGCGCTTCTCCTGTTGTTCTCCCGACTTTGATTTCTTAGGCCTTCCAACCTTCTTGACCTGCGCGGGATTCTTGGCGCTGTTCTGTCCGGTAGCCTCCGCGAGCTGGAACCTCACCCACTTGTCGAGGTCAGCCTGGATCTCCATGGCCTTCGCGTGTGGAACCGTCCTTAGGATTTCGGAGACGTTTTCCTTGCTCTTGGCCATCATGCTCGCGAACACCCGGCGCTCATCAGTCGCTGATCGAGCGGCAGCTTCTTTTGCCGCACGTTACGAAGGATGCACGCCGTCCCCCGCGTCGTCGTCGTCGAACGTTGGCCCCCAAAAGTTGACGTCTGCGCCCTCTTCACCCCCGTCCCAGCCGTCGCTGTGCCCTGTCTCTTTCAACACTCTGGAGACGGTCCATGGCTCGTCGTTGCCGTGAAGCGATTGTCGCCAGCGTGCGTGGAGACTGTTGCCATCGAAGCGGTGGTCGAGCAGGATTCCCTTGAACCTGCAGCCGAGGAAGCGAACTAGCACGGTGGCATGTATTCTCTTGTTCTAGAAATATTCCAGAAGCATGCTAGGTCAAGGTTGACCTGGACATCTACGTAGAACGTGTGTAGCTTTTGGAAGCCTTCTAGAAACTTCTGAAGTTTTCTGTAAGCTTTTGTAAGCGTTCTAGATCTAGGTTGCAGTTGATACTCTTCTAGAACGTAGGAGGGCTTCCAGAAATCATCCTGGAAGCCTTCTGGATCTTTCGTGTGATTGGCTTTTTTATCCGGTATTCGAGAAGAGTGGTGCAGCCCTAAGCTCGCCCACCACTCTCACTCCTCTTCAGTACCAGTAACATGTGACCTGGGAGTCAGCGATTAATAAAAACATCTTCATACTTCTATTCCAAGTCTCTCGCGGTTGGAGCCGCACGGAGTGTGAACCTCTGAGGTAGACTACACAGCATACCGGCATCTGCAGCATCGTACTGCTGCTAGTGGACAGCGAAATATACGCTGACACCGGGTACATCGTTCGCCACAAGTGCTGCCTCGACAGCAATGCCCGGTCGCCGTGTCTTCGGCCCCACCGCCGCTTCCCCGGCTCTCTTTCTCTTTAGTCCTGAGGCCGTAGACTACTCTCTCTACTCTCTGCTTCTGCTTCCCTCGCGCGCTGGCGCTTCACGGACGCTTCCGCGTCCTGCGTGAATCATTTCCTCATGAACCATGCCGGCTCGTCCTCGACCTTGCTTGTTGTACCACACCTCCGGGTCCTTGGGCCTCACTTTCCATTTACCCCCTTCCTATTCGAGTCAGTTCAGGTGTGTGTGTATCCCGGACTTTTTCTTTTTCCTGATAAAAGGCGTCAAGATGGATCCCAGAGGGATTCGAACCCTGGTTGTGCTTTGATGAGATAAACAGCATAGTCTATCCACTGAACGAAACAGTCAGCGCTGACTGTTTAGCTCAGTGGATATGTTGTGTATCTAACAGAAGTAAGTACGGCTGGTGCTGCTGTGGCTGCTGCGGTTGTTGCTGCTGTGGCTGCTGCGGTTGTTGCTGCTGTTGCAGCGCTGCCGTCCTCCGTTGTCCTCTCGTCTTCCCCCTACCCCCCATGTTCCCGCCCCCGCCACCACGGTTATCACCGCCAGTGACGAAGGCATACTACGCCCCCACGCCCTCCGACGCCCGCTTCCTAGCGGCCTGCGTCTCCGCCCAGGCAGTCAGAATCACCTTCTCTACCAATTCCGTCTTGACCTCCGAATGCGCCAACAACACCCTCCTCTGCACATTGAAATAGGGCAGAAGGTTGCGTACATAGTGGACGTTAGCATCACGATCGGGTTGCACCCAACCGTACGCTTCTAGCTTCTGGCGAAGTACTAATGCTCTTGTGAGATAGCGCCGGGGCTCCTCCCGTACTTGCTGCTTCAACGAGTACCACTGCCCCTGCAACTCCAACTTGTCCGTTTCTGCGTGCACTCGGTAAGAGTTGAGAAATTG